CCAGCCTTGAAGCATTTACGTAATCTACAGTAACGGCATTGATTTCTTTTGTCCTTATCTACAATACAGCAAACAAACAACAATATCTTTACATTATAAGCAATGATGACTGATAAACTGTGTGGCTTATATTCTGAAAAATAAAATGTTTGAGATAAAATAAAATTTGATAACATGTGAGAACCTATTACATGTAGTCCTCTTTCATTTACAGTTTGTCACTATCCAGTACCTGTATTTTGGTTTAACAGACTATATATTCAACCCATGAAACAATGAGTGTACTTTATTGAATAATACATAAATAGTATCAAGTTACTTAGTTTTGACTGTGATGATTATTAATACAAAATGGAGGCTGGTGGAATCATTGCAGTTGGAATTGTTTGATATTGCTTGAAGCCAAATTTACAGGGTAGTTTTGCAATTTTAAACTCCATTTCTAAAATATCTCTGACAGTGTAAGGAAATTATTTTTATTCTGTAATTCTGTGCTGTCTTCACACAATGTGTCTGCATAGTATTTCCTTCTGTTTTCATATACACTAATCTTTTTAACTATGTTACAGGTTTTCAGTTTCTCACTTATATCAGTAATTTCTATCTCTCTGTGTGTATATCCAGATAAGGCTGTAATCCTCATTTTGGTGCATCTATTCTTATTTTGAAGATTGCTGTGAAAATCTCAAATCCTACATATTTTTATTTTGTTTCTATCACTCCTTGTATGTGTTTGACTTCTGTTTCTGTAAATTGTTTCAGTGTGCTGTCACAAGGTGTCAGGTGGGCTACAAATGTTTATGAGGAATTGTATATTTGAATGTTATAATTAGAAAAAAATCTTATTTTCCATAATTATAATTTATAATACGTTTGCGCATGCACACACACAGAGGTTTATCGATAGTTTTATTCAGCATGTGTTGTTATGTTTTGATATGCCTGCATTCTAAAAGAGCAAGGATTTATATCTAGATACATATTATGGCCATGCATAGTTTCATCATGTGAAACTCTATGGTGTGCCATCATGTGTCTTTGACAAATTAGGGTGTGCTGCAGGTGAGAAAAGGTTGTGGAACAGTGAATTATTACAGTTGTACTTATTGAAGTTTTCATTTTATTTTGTAAATCTGTCTCAACATCTGGGTTTATTAAATGTAGTAAATATTTGAATTTATATATATGTTCTATTGGTTTATTATCTAGTACAGTCTTACATCTTACTTATTCTTTCCTTGTATATGTACATCATATTGTTCCATTAATAATTTTACTAAATAATGATTTATTTGTAATTCATCATCTGTTTCCACAATAACTATACGATTATATGCGTGCAATAAATGCTATTTTTTATTACAGTAATTCTTATTAATTTGTATTAATTATTTGGGGTTTCTCTGAAGGAACTATAACTAGAAGAGGAAGTTCATTTATGAAAGGGTGATCATCTGTATAGGAACATTGTTTATTTATGCTTGTATCTTTAATAAAGTACAATTCAGTTAACTGATTTTAAAATACTGTAGGTCTGTGTGGTATAGATATCTCTCAGTGTGACACCTGCACATTACAGTGGTGGGACACGAGGTTATTTATAGGGTTTTTGAAAACAAAGCACTGAGGAAATTTCTGACTTAAGAGAGGGGAAGTAACAGCAGGAGAAAGTCGTAATGAGGTGAGTTATAATATATACTCTCCACCTGATGTTAGGGTGATTAAATCATGGAGGATAACCAGGGATCAAGCATGTGGCATAAATGAGAAATGCATACATAGTTTGATCAAAGAGACATAGACATAAATGGGAGGATAATTTTAAAATGGATCTTAAAAGATTGGGTTTTAGATATGGATTGCATTCAACTGGTTCAGGATCAGCTATGGACTTCTGTGAACGCAGTAACGAACCCTCCGATCCTTGAAAGTGGAAAATTTCTTGTTCATCTGAACAATTATAAACTTTTCATGAAAGACTGTACACTATGCAGTTAGTTAGTTACTTATGGAAATGTTACATTATGTCTAGTTATCAGACCTTGAACAGAAGTGAGACATGCTAATGTTACCCGTTTCCATTTCCTGTTATAGGATATGAATACATTTGTTTCTGCTCACCTGCATGTGTATAAATGGTTCTTGCGGACTGAGCGCCTGAAGAAGCCCTTGCAACCATCACAAGAGGCTGCACCATAATGCTTGCCAGTTGCACGGTCACCACATATGGCACACTGTTGGCTGATGACACCCGAGCCTGTCTGCAGACTGGCGTGGAGAGATGAGTTCCCTGCCATCTGCAGCTCTGTGTCTGCTGGACATAAACCATAATTTGGTAAGTGCTTGATCATGCATATCTTACTTCCAAGCTTGCCTTCATGTGATGAATCCTGTTTTCATCAACGAGCCTTTGTGATTGACTCAAGGCATTATGACCTTTGCATCTAATGGAATGATGGAATACAGGTATTTTTATGTTTAGTTTAAAGTTTTATTTGCATGGTTTTATATACTAACTAGTAAAAAACAAATGCAGTTGAGTTGACTATAAGCACATTTTATCAATCCATAAATTGTGTCAGCAAAACAGGGTCACCAATATACTTGAATATGCAAATGAAGTTTAAAGACTGAAATGTGTGTATACAAAAATGTTGATCCCATTTGGATGTTATTGTTGTGCAGAAAACTGGTTGATCTCAATTGGATATAATCATTTCAAAGATTTTCAGAAATGTGCTAGTTAGCTTACAAGGGTCAAGGTCAAGTTAACATAATGGAGACAGTAATTCGCCCAGATTTTATCTGCCTCTAATGTAAACAAATTTACATGCCATATTTCATGCTTTGGAGCCTGCAGAATAAACCTCTGCATAAGTTGTGAAAAGTAATCATAAAACCAAGTCTTGTATGCTGGCCATTAACGAGAAGCCAAAATGTCAGAATAGATGTAACAGGTGTTTTCTAACTAGCTGCTGGATACTAACTACTTTATCACAAGTGTCATACAGACATATGAAAGAAATTTATTCTAAGAATGTGAGAATTTTTAACATGGAAAGTTTAAAAATGGAAAATTCCTATATCTCATGTCCATCGAAAGACAAGAGATAATAAGAAAATCAAAGAATTTGATGAAGCTAGTTTAAGCATTTTATTCATCCCTTGCACGAAATGTGTACTTTTATCTCACTGTTTCTATCTTCTGTCTCTGGAACTACAAAATGGGTTTAATTTAAGATAATATTAATGGCCCATGCTGAAAGCTACAGCAAATTTAATTGTAGTATGTACCAGACCAGTTTAAACCTTACTTAATTAAATTACTTTATTTTTTTTCCCACATGTACATGCCACAAAATATTTAACTATGTCATATTGAAATATTTTACCATATGGTGAATATTTATCAAAATACAGATGACATGAATGATTGTCATTTTCACCCAGATAGATAATATGCGAACATATTGTCTAAGAAAATGATCACTGCACTAATTCGTCATTACGTGACAGTTTCTTTTCTTGTAACTCTCCTGTCATATGTAGTCTACATAACGTAATGAGATTAAAGTGGATTGTGTAAGATAAACAATGTTATATCTCCATCCTATAGAAATATGTTCCATAAATGTATGATTTGAGGTTTTCACAGCGGTGAGTATGAAGATTTCTGTCTTCTGGGTTGTTGCGCTGTGTAGTCTGGTAGATGTTAACCAACGTTTCAGAGGTCATACTGCCTCCGTCATCAGGGCGATGAATGGTAAACATCTACCATACTACACAGCACACAACTCAGAAGACAGAAATCTTGATGTTCCATAAACATATAGTTTTTATAACACTTATTTTGTTAGGAGTTGAATAAGTGTTTCAGATGAGTTCTTTGCAATTTTGTACAGTTTGCAGGACATGATGTGTGTTTATGGCAAATAAATAATAATAAAAGCTGTCAAATCACAAGTAGGCCTTCTACACTATTCAATCACATATTAGTTTTTCCTGTATTTCAATAAATATATAGCTTAAGAGTATAAAGTACACTGTCTAGAAATTGTTTTTAATAATGAGCCAATGTGAATATATAAAGTTTGATTGGAGATTCACGTGTACAAGGGAACAACCTGTTGAAATCAATAGGACATATAATGGGACTATCACTGCTTGCTCATATCAGTTACATCTAACGCCATGTAGTCACTCTGAATATGGCTGGGAAAATAGAATCATATAGTCCAGGGACATTTACCCCTTTGAAGCCAAAAATCGGCTAAATAATGTACAGAGTGTTTCTAAATTATGTGGCATAAATGATGGGGAGCTGTTGGTCGTCAGTATGAGTCAAGAAAATCCAAAGTTGATATGCTCGAAAACGTTTATGTAAATATTTACAGAGGGTCGAAGTTCAAGGGTGCAATGTTCCAGCAGCTTCGAAATGCGAGGTGCTTGATTCTGGGAGGAGTTACTTGTTACACAAGTTCAAAAGATGCTCGAAATGTCCTTGATGGGCAGGTGCACTGTCGTGCAAGAACCAAATCCGTTGTCGTGTTCGAAACGAAACATCGTCCAAGAACTGAGGCAGATGTCATACGGAGGAATCACAGGTACCGTGAACCAGTAAGTTTCACCGGTAAAATAAACTGACCAGTGAGATGATCTCCTAAGATTCTGGCCCAGCGTTTAACAGTTTCGCGCGTCATGCTCACTGAACCAGCTTCCAACCTAAAATGCTCTTGAAATGTTATCTTTTGTAACATCTTACAGAAGCATTTCTGGACCCATGTCCGTTGGACATTTTTAACTCATACTGACGCTCTGAAGCACCCCGATCATTTATGGCACAATTTACAAGTATTCTGTATAAATATTCAGTCCATTACTAAAAAAATGTTTCCATTGCAATGACCAGTTGGTTGAAACTGCTTATGGAAGTAACCGCGGTTTGGTCTGGAAGTCATGAAACCTGTAAATACAATCTGTAGGCAAAATTCAGAGTTCCTGATTATTACGGCTGGTGGTACATCGGTTACCACCCGGCTTTAAAGGTTTGAAGTAATGAAATGGCGATTAATTAAATTGTGTGTGTAGCGGTGTTGTGATCCCCTGTTTATTTAAATGATGTATAGTGAAATAAACAGTTGGACTGATTTTGTCAATCTGTGTAATGTCAAAATCTTAAGCACGGAAAATATTCCTTATTATTCGGAAACACGACAAATCATTATTACGCCGATGTCGAAATTCTATCACTCAGTATAGCCTAAATATTGTGCTGAAGGATTTTAACGTCAGTTTCTTTCATCTGTTTCGCGCACTTTTCTGATGTTAGCCTGCATTAAGGGCAGTGAATCAGTCTAAATGGGGAAGAGGTTATACACGTGGAAGGACAATTCAACAATTCAACGAACTTCTGGTGTAGAGTCGATATATTTTGTTTTCTGGGATTTGAACCGACGGAGATTCCGGTTTCGTTCGATTGCCTCGGTGAGAAATAATGCCGTTTTTCATGAACATGATGTACTTTATTCAAACAGAACGCTCATTACTGGTCGTTGTACAAGTCTAGCTGTAGATCGATGTAGGGCTAAGTATCTCGATAACTGAAACTGGTCGATCCTGTTACATTTACGAACATAATGCCCCATAATGGGAGACAGCCACTTTTGTATATTAGAACTGTGCCAGGAAGGGAGAGGATGCTCATCTTAACCTAGTGCGCCCGTTTCTTTATAAATGAGACTCTGGTAACTGAGCCAGGGTGTTTCTGAGTCAATATGTAGCTACAGAGGACAGCGCCTTTCAAATAATTTTAACTTATCGGTGCTCGTAATTAGATAGTGGTTCTCACTGCCCGTTGACCGCCTTTCCCCCTCTTTCCCCTACCATGTTCTTTTGGGTTGTGACGCCGTGTAAACTCTTAGGCGGATACCAACGTTTTGTGCTTCCATCTTCGGCCCCAGGTGAACAACATCGCCTTCGCCGTCAGTTCTCTTAAGAAATAGCTCATTTTATAAAATTGGTGCAAGACAAGAAACTTATATTAAGATATGTAACTTTAATTTCAAATATGTTTCTGCATAGCGTATTTACCGACGTACAAGGAAAAATAATGTCTGATCTAATACAGTGTGTAGCATTAGCATTTCAGTAATAGTGCACTCTTGTGTTTGCAGTAAATTTATATTAAGTAAAGCATCCCACTAACGCCATGTAGGCGCATTGGGGGAGTGGAGGTATAGCTCCTACTTTTTCTTGACCTCGGTACTAGATGGGATAAGTGGTCAGCAGCACGCCCCGGCCGGCTTTACACCCGGGAAAGGACCCCGGTACCCATTGGATAGGAGGCTGGGTGGGCCCCTGAGCCGGCCAACTTACGTACCCCATTGGAATGCTCCTTTTCATTATAGTTTATCCAATATTAACACATTAAACCCGGTTACTTCTGGTCTTTTGTGTTCGTTAAAATACCTGGTAATCACATTTGAAAATCTTTTTAACGCACTTGCATATACGAGAAGCACTAAGAATGGAAGTGATTGTATCTTCTACTGCGAAACGTACACTTCAGACCAAGGAACTTGAAAGCAACGGACGGGGCTATCCGTCTACTATTCCACAAACATGCAGCCCACGAGTACTTAGTCAATATAACTCATAAGTGATTACCTCGACAATGTCTTCCCGCCGGGCATTATTTTCGACTTTGATCCATAACAACATGGATTCAAGCCATTGCGTTTGCAGTCCAGAGGTCAGTGCGTGGCATTTGTTCTTATAATTGGGCTAAGTCATGTTCGATAGAGGATGAAAAATAAATTATGTCTGTAATATTTAACTTGTCGAGTGTAGCATCATGGCGTCCGGGCCGGAGTGGTCTCGATTACTTTGTGTATTAAAACTACGCGGTTTAAGAACTTACGAAAACCACGAACAGCCTTAGTCATGATTGTTGTCTCCTGGGCTGAAATTCAACCCACGTACCTTCCCTATTCGAAGGAGGAGTCTTCATTGTACCGCGATGTTATGGTTCGGAGCTGTTAATGGAGTGAGCAGATCCTGCACTCAGCTATGCAGCTGAGTCTAAGGACAGATGTTACATCGTCTTTTTGGCAAACAGTATTTACTTTGGAGTAAATATTAAATCACTAGTGTAAGAAGCCCGTTGAAATTCGACGGGAGACGATTTCGTTCGTATCTTCAATTCTCATCTTGTCTTCCTTTACTTTATTCATGTCATATCTTTGTCTCCCTCCCTAATTTATCCATATTCCTTCCCTATCCCTCTCACACTCAGTCTCGTCGACCCATATTTCC